AACAACAACAACAACAACAACAACCCAAAATCAGACCTGACATGAGAATAAGAAAAAAACTAAAAAAAAAAAAAAATCACCTCTAAGTTAATATGATTGTTTGGTATACTTAAGAAGCATCAATTAAGAAGTCTCAGATCAAGTTCGGACACGTTCTGAGTCTGCAGTCAGCGGAGCTAAGCCCGGACTTGTCTCCAGCTGGGGCTATTTAAAAGCCATGGCCTTTCCCAGTTCTAGTTATTTAGTGACCACAGTCCCGTTCGCGCTTGCACTGATCCAGGCAAATGTGCAATACCGGAATGTCTGTGCCCACTGCCGATGATGCTGTTCCAAGTACCTCCCAAATTCCTGCTTCAGAACAAGAGACCCTGGTTAGACCAAAACCATTGCTTTTGAAGTTGTTAAAATCTGTTGGTGCACAAAAAGACACCTATACTATGAAAGAGGTTCTATTTTATCTAGGCCAATATATTATGTCTAAGCGATTATATGATGAAAAACAACAACATATGGTATATTGTTCAAATGATCTTCTAGGGGATCTGTTTGGTGAGCCAAGCTACTCTGTAAAAGACCACAGGAAAATCTATACAATTATCTACAGAAATTTGGTAGTAGTCAATCAGCAGGAACCATTGGATTCTGGCACATCTGTGAGTGAAAATAGGTGTCATCTTGAAGACAGGAGTGATCAAAAGGACTCTGTGCAAGAGTTACAGGAAGAGAAACCATCATCTTTCAATTTGATTTCTAGACCAACTACCTCATCTAGGAGGAGAGCAAGAAGTGAGACAGAACTAAATTCAAATGAACTGTCCAGTGAAGTACAAAGAAAGCGGCACAGATCTGACAATGTTTCCCTTTCCTTCGATGAAAGTGTTGCACCGTGTGTCATAAGGGAGATATGTTGTGAAAGAAGCAGCAGCAGTGAGTCAACAGAAACACCGTCAAATCCGGATCTTGATGCTGGTGAAGGTGAACATTCTACTAATTGGTTAGAGCAGGAATCAGTTTCAGATCAATTCAGTGCAGAATTTGAAGTTTAATCTATTGATTCAGAAGATTATAACCTTAGTGAAGAAGGACAGGAACTCTCGGATGAAGATGATGAGGTTTATCTAGTTACTGTGTATCAAGCAGAAGAGACTGATACAGATTCATTTGAAGATGACCCTGAAATTTCGTTAGCTGACTATTGGAAATGTACTTCATGCAATGAAATTAATCCCCCTCTCCCACCACATTGTAATAGATGTTGGGCACTTCATGAGAATTGGTTTAATGAAGATAAAAGGAAAGACAAAGAGGAAATGCTTGAGAGCAACAAACTAGAAAGCACAGCATAGGAAGAAGAAGGTTTTGATGTTCCTGATTGTAAAAAGACTACAGTGACTGACTCCAAAGAGTCAGATGTTGAGGAAAATGATGATAACATCACACAGGCCTCCCACTCTCAAGAAAGTGAGGACTATTCCCAGCCATCAACTTCCAGTAGCCTTTTGAGCAGCCAAGATATCAAAGAATTTGAGAAGGAAGAGACCCAAAGCAAAGAAGAAAGTGTGAAAGTGACTTCTCGCCCTGTTGCCACTGAACCTTGTGCGATTTGCCAAGATCAACCTAAAAATGATTGCATTGTTCATGGCAAAACAGGACATCTTATGGAGTGTTTTACATGTGCAAAGAAACTAAAAAAAAAAGAAGAAACAAGCCAATTCAAATGATTGTGTTAACTTATTTTCTCTAGCTGACTTGTCTGCAAAAGTAGAATGTTTTGGAATAAAAACATTCAGCCATGTATGAACAGAAATAGCTATTGAGTGTTGAACTGACTCTAAGACCCTCTGACCAGTTTAAAAAAGCCCCACAGAAAAGTTTGCAAAAACCTGTATTTGTAGCTTGTGAATTTCACCCTCCTTGTTAATAAAGCTCTTTTATTATGCACATATTTTGTTGGCATCTTAAAAGAGTAGTAGCTCCTAAGAACAAAGGAGATACAAGTTGATGGCCTCCTTTGATTTCATGCCCAACTAACCTGGATTAAGCAGCTTGTCCACCTCAATTTCCCTTTAACAGCCCCTCTTTTCCCATTCCTGTATGTGTAAATGCCCTGTTCTCTGATAAGATGTAGACGTGGGTTAGCAACTCATATCCAAAAGTCTCTTTTGTCTAAGAAGACAGGAAGCAAAATAAATAAGCCTCTTCCTTTAAAAAAAAAAGAAGTCTCATAATATGCAATGTTTCAATGATGACTCCTGATTTTTTTTGCACCTTGAAGACCAAAGCACAGTTTATACAAATAAGATACACACACATACATGCACAAAACCTTTACCATTTCTCAACATTGTGACACAAAGAGGCATCCAATTTTTTTTCTATTTGGAGGAGAGTTTGCAGGACACAGTGAGGAAAATGTTTCTATTTTTAACTTGGATTTAAATTTTATGTTTGTGTATGTGTATATAACCCTTTGCAAAAAATAACATACATCACAGGAATTTCACTGGAGGATATCATCTTAATGAATGAGACTTATCCAAGGGCAAAAACCTTGCTTGTACATCTGCTAGGAGATCTCTATGCGCCCTGGTATGAAATCAAGATGCATCCAATCCTATAGTAAAACTGAGTCCTTGAGAAAAGAATCCTCCCAAAGCAAGACAGAGAATTATAGCTAGTTTGTTAATGTTATATGCTGTGGAGTCAACTCAGAGAGACCCTATGAACAATAGATTGCAACCTTACCCTATCTTGCCCCATCCCCTTGTTCCAAGAGTTTTGAAGAATATAGCACCATAAGGCAGCCCTGAAATCAGAAGAGTAGTATATCCTTGATAGGACATCTGAAATATATTTGATTTTTTTGTTTGTATGCCATGGGTGATGAGTACCATGGAATTTTAATGTTTGATTTCAAGCTTATTTTTCTATTTCCCACATAGTAATTTCTATCAGATAAATCAAGTCTCCAGTAAAACCAGTTGTAGTCATGTAGCCCTAGTAAATGCAAAAAATGAGAGAGAGAATATTAGCTTTCCTAAGTTGATATCTTTGGGATTCAAATGTGATAACAGCATCATGGTAGAAAAGATGATAGCAAAGGACTTTAGGAGAAATTTTCAGCGCTAACCTAGGAATGTTAGTCTGTAGTCCAGTGTCCTAGAGAACAGCAGTTGTAGCAGTAAAGTAGCTTGCATGACACAAAACATGATACAAAAATTTCCCCAGAATATTCTAGTGAGAACTCATCTTTGAAGGAGCTGAAGCAAGAGGGTGGCACAATGAAACCAGGGTTACAGGCTCACTTTTCAAGGCTAAGTGATCACTTGGTATTCACCACAACAAAAACATATTGAATTTCTTCAAGTGGTGAAAAGAAACATGTTTGTAAGTGAGAGAAAATTCATACCCAAGTTTAAAAAGGGGTCAAATAATTCCTTTGATCTAAATAACCCATATTTCTATCAAAGGCATAGAAGAGCTTCTGGAAAAACCTGGAGATCTAGATTGAAATTGGGGAGCTACAATTGTTGGCTCCATTTTATTACTATTTTATAATATTATTAAATTTTACTTATCTTAGTAATCATCCACATTTATTAGGTCCTTTCTGTCTTTTCCCTCCACAATTTCCTCACCAAAATAGCAAAAAGAAATGGGTTATTATTATGCAGAAGAAACAAGAATCAAGTGATTATGAAATACAGTGTCAACTGAAAAGTTTATCATTGGAGTTCAAAGGTAGTTCTGCCTGAATTTAGATTTTCAAATTGTTATACATATTTTATTTCTTTTTATTATAAAGTCAGAGGAATATAGAAGAATAACAGGTAAATTGACTTTATTTTTAATGTAGATTAAGGTTATAAGGAAAGAAAGCATCACGCCAAATTTCCTTTTCTACTTAAAGTTTAATGTCATTGTATGTATACTTTGTGAAGAAATGTGTGTGTGTGTGTGTGTGTGTGTGTGTGTGTGTGTGTGTGTGTGTCACAGAAACAACCAAAATATAAATCAACCCTACAAATTCCTCAGGACCCAATCAATAAATGTTATTGGATGCTGATCTGTAAGTATGTATTCATTTTGGCAAATAAAAATAACATAAACTTTAGCTTCAAGTTATATCTATACATATAATTATCAAATATGTGTTACAGACAAAATAGTTTGTAGACATTCCTTTGAAACTGACTTAACAAAGCCTTGAAGATTCAAAAGAAATTACCAAATTATAGAGAGGAGATCATAGAATAAGAGATAGAAATATCTTACAGAAATATAATCAAGAGGAAATGAACTAGAATAAGAATGTATATTAAAGCAATATGCCACCTAGACAACTGTACTGATACCACTTCATTAAAAATGTTAAATTATAAAAAAAGATAATATGTGATACCACAGAACTAACATCTCCACTCTGCACTTCTTAAATATTCAGTCAAATATAGATTGACTCAGTCTCTCTAAAGGAGGAAATGTTTGTTTGGAATTATAATTAAAATAAGCAAAAATCTTTATTCTTGTAGATACCATCCCTAACCATGTTGAGTAAATCCTTAAAGAATATTGGTTTTGTAGGATGCTAAATTATGAATCTGCACTGGGAGTTTCCATAATCAGTACAAGAAAATTAAATGCTTCTGTTCAACACGTCTTCAAGAATGAGTGAATGAATATGCCCAGCACAAAGGACCTTAAATACTAAATTTTCAGTATTTAAAAAGCAAGTTTATTCATTGCATTCATTGGCCCAATTATTGAGAGACAAACTTTTCCAAAGTTATTGTCTACAGAGATTATTTCCAGTTTAGCCTTTTCTATTCACTTTTCAATATTCAGTATTCTGGCCTATCCCATAAACTGCCAAAAGAACAAATAAGTCTTGGGAAAAGTACAACTAGAGTGCTCTTTGGAGGCAAAGATGATGAAGCTTCATCTTTCATACTTTGGATATGTAGCTAGATGAGGGTATTCCCTGATGGTGGTGGTGGTTGTTGTTATGTGCCGTTGAGTCGTCTGTGGCTCATAGCATCCCCATGTACAACAGCCCTAAACCCTGCTCTATCCTGTGCCAATTTCATCGTCTCTGACACACCTACCCCAAATATCCCAGTCACTGAATCAAATCAATCCACCTCATTACAGTGTCTTTCTCTCCTGTGATGTCCCTCCACCGTCCCAAGCATGATGTCCTTCTCCAAGGCTTGGTTCCTCCTTGTAACATGTCCAAAATATGTCAGACAAAACTTCAGAATCCTTACCTCCAGATAGCAGCCTGGTTTAGTCCTCTCCAGGATGAAACTGCTTGTTTTCTTAGCAGTCCATGGTATATTAAATAGTCTTCTCCAACACCAGCTCAAAGGAATCAATTCTCCTTCTTTCCTCCTTAGTCATCGTCCAGCTCTCTGATGCATAACAAGTGATTGCAAAGACCATGGCCTGTATCAGGTACACTTTAGTCTGCAGAGTGACATCATTGTTCTTCAGTACTTCGGAGAGGTCCGTAACAGCAGACTTCCCCAATGCAATACGTCTTTCAATTTCCTGGCTGCTGGTGCCAACAGTGTTGATCGTGGAGTCAAGCAAGCAAAGCTGTTAAAAATCTCAATCTCTTCACCATCTATCATGATGTTGCCAATTGGCCCATTGGTAAGAATCTTTGTTTTCTTGCTAATAAACTTCAATACATATTGAATGCTGCAGTCTTTGACCTTCTGCAACAAGAGCTTCAAGTCTTCCTCAGTTTCAGCAAGCAAGGTTGTGTCATCTGCATAATGCAGATTGTTGATGAATCTTCCTCCAATCCTGATGCCACATTTTTCCTCGTAGAGCTCAGCCTCCCAGATAGTCTGTTCTATATATAGGTTGAAAAAAAAGTGTGGAGATCCCTGGCATACAATCTTCCCAATTTTGAACAGCACAATGTTTCCTTTCTCTGTTCTGACAACTGTCTCCTGGTAAAAGTATAGGTTTCACATTAGTATGAGCAAGTGTTCTGGGAGTCCCATTCTTCTCAGAGTTAGTCACAATTTGTTGTGATCCACTCATTCAAATGCCTTTGTATAATCAATAAAACACAGATAGACATTCCTCTGGTACTCTCTTCTCTCAGCCAAGATCCACCTGATATTAGCTATAATATCCATAGTACCATGACCCATTCTAAACCCAGCTTGCACTTCAGGCAGCTCAACATTGATGTACTGTTCCAGTCATTTTTGGATGATCTTCATCAAAATCTTGCTTGCATGTGATATTAATACTGTTTGATAATTTCCACACTCTGTTGGATCACCTTTCTTTGGAATGGGAACAAATATAGATCTCTTTCAGTCAGTTGGCCAGATGGTTGTCCTCCAGAATTCTTGGCACAACCTGGTGAGTACATCTAGAAAAGCATCTGTTAGTTGAAATATGTCAATTACTATGCCATCAATTCCTGGGGTCTTATTTATTTTGTCAATTCTTTCAAAGCAGTCTAAACTTCCTCCTTCATCATCACAGGCTCTTGCTCTATCCCACCTGGATTTCAAAATCATCTCAAGAACAGTTTTGAGACCTTGAACACTGACTGAAGACCAGATGAATTGTGGGAGGATATCAAGAATATCTTCCAGGAAGAGTGCAAAAGGTCATTACAAAGACAGAGGAGGAAGAAAAAACAAAATGGTGTCGGGAGAGACTCTGAATATTGTACTAGAGCACTGAGTAGCCAAAGCAGAGGGAAGAAACCAAGAT